TTTTTTTTTTTTTTTTTGTTTTTGTTTATTTAAAGAGACATGGTGTCTTAAAACAGGTTTAGCAAATATTGCTTAAACATTGAGTTACATTCTTCTTTTATCACTATTAATTGATGTTGGTAAAAAATTGGTTACTTTTTTTTGAGAAGAAAAAAGCCATTTATTTTTCAAAAAATTTTAGTTTCCGGTCTGTGTGTTTTTGTGAATCTGTCGTTAATTGAATGTAAATATGTATGTATATATGCTGTATGTATCGCTTTTGAACAATATTCAAATGGGTTAAGAATGAAGAAGTGTTGTTTAATTCGGTAGATTAACCTCACCACAGAAGGGTTTATCTGTAAAACAGAAGCGGTATCTTCTTGTTAGAACGGTGAAGTAAACGCTTTAAGATGCATAAAAATTACTGTTTTTGAGTACTACTTTGCAACCACGGCAAACTTATTTAGGTTCAGGTAATCGTTTCACTTTCACTAAATAAATTATAAATATTTTGATCGTAAAAATTTATATGATGTATTGGTCACGAGCAGTTTTTCTTCAAAATAAATCAACATTTTAGTTTGCGATAGTCAGCTTTAAAAACAGGTTTACCAGTAAACTGTACAAAGTACAAATATGTTGAATCGAAGTTACTGCCGAAATATATAGTATTTGGAGGTTATTTTTGTTCACTAATCGACGCAAATTTATTCCTCAAAGATGTTACCTTTATAAATTGCTTTCCTCTTCTTTTTTTTTTTTCTTGAATTGGTTAAATTGCCTGAAAATTGCAGTTTTTTTTCGTATTTGAACGATTCGCAAAGGTTATGTTGGTTTTGAAATTTTGCCATTTGTATGAAGAAGATATAAGAAGCGACTATAAGTTGCAGCTTTACATTTATCTGTTTGACTGCTTTTTATTCAAACTTTTTTTTTACCAGCTGCAAAAAATCATAACTATACTTGTAGATTCTACATACATTTTTTGAGCATCAAGTCAGAAGACAATAATTTTAACTTCTGTTACATATCATCATTTTTGCTTTCTGATTTTCAGCTAAATAGCACAAAAAAAAAATGAAGATAATATAAAGAAAACATTGCTCTTCTTTTCTTACTGAATTGATGTGAGATACAACAATTATTGTTTTCGTATTTGCAGTGTAATAAATCAATAATAATTAACTTATATTTATTTTAGAGTTACGACTTTAATGGTTTGTTGTCTTCAGACAGTACAATGGTAACCAAATTTTTTGTAAACAAAGCAAAATTTTGAATATTGAAAACAATTTTTGATTATCTGACCTCAGTTGTTCATTGATCAATCAAAAAGGCAGGTGATCAGTTGTTAATAATCTTAACTTTACAAACAGGAATTTTTGTTCATTTTTGCACAATTCTACACATCACATAC